TGAATGGGCGGCGTGACGTGACCGCCGCGCCTGCGCACCGCTCCACCAGCCGCCGTCTGCGCCTGCGCAGCGCGTCACCCGTACTTCCTCCTCCCCCAGGTCCGACCCCACCCTCCTTCCGGCCCGACCGCGGGCTTCCGGCCCGGCCGACTCCTGGTCCCCGGACGCCGTCCCCGAGCCTGGGCCGCCGGTGCTCGGGCGGCCGGGCGGGAGGACTGCCGCTATTCCCGGGGCAGCGGCAGGCCCGGCCAGCCGGGCGCCAGGAGGCTGAACCGTGGGCCTGCAGCCCCAGACGCATAGAGCGTTAGAGGCCGAGGGCCTGCCTCCAGAAGGCTCGGGACTCAAACCCGCAGGAAAGAAAAGGAGAAGGGTGAAGACGAAGCGCGGTCATCCACCATGGCGACACCGGAGCCCTGCGGGCGCCCATTTCAGGTAGCCTTTAGGTGCGTAGTGCCTCCAGGACTCTTCCAGTTTCACCCGGGGGAGACCAGAAAATGTGGAGAGGAATTGTTTCTCCACTACACATTGCAGTCAGTATGGTGGGGTGTGCTGGAAAAGGGGTGTGTGTGTCTGCTTTCTTAAGAGTATTCAGTAGTGCTCAATCTTGCAGTTCCAGCCCCTGGCTCTTAGTCTGATTCCCAGGCACTTGTCCCTATTCTAGGGCGCTCCAGCGGCACCCAGCAGCCCTTGTTAGACTGAATGTGTCCTGCCTACATACACCTCAAACTCATGTTGAAAAATAGTTCCTCCAGGTAAAATACTTGGAAGGAGATGAAATAAGGAAGCAGAGCTTCATGAGTGAGATCAGTGCATGTATAAAAGGCTCCTAGCTACTCGGGAGGCTGAGATATGGAGGACCAGAGGGTCATGGTTCCAGAGAAGCATAAAGCAAGGCTGGAGTGCCCTGAGCTCAAATCCTGACAATGGCACACACACTTTAAAAAATACAAAAGGGCCGGGCACAGGTGGCTCACGCCTGTCATCCTAGTTACTCAGGAGGCTGAGATCTGAGGATCATAGTTCAAAGCCAGCTCAGGCAAAAAAGTCTGTAAGACTTGTATCTCCATTGACCACCAGAAAACAGAAGTGGCGCTGTGGCTCAAGTGGTAGAGCGCTCGCCTTGAGCTGAAGAGCTGAGGGACAGCGCCCAGGCCCAGAGTTCAGGCCCCATGACCGACCCCCCCCCATTAAAAAAAAAAAAAAAGACTCGAGCCCTGTAGCCCTTGTTCTGCCACCTGATGACAGCCCTGAACAAAGCCCTCACCAGAACCCGATAATGAGGGCATCCTGACTTTGGATACTTCAGAGTCCCAAAGGGCCCCCACTTTCTGGGTCCTGAATAGAACAGAGAACTTTGCCTACTCTAGGACTTGGTGAGCTGTAAGTTCTTCCTGGAAGGCCAGGGACCAGGCCTTGGTGTTGAGCCTTCCCAGGCACTGATTAAGGTGGTTCTTGCCTAATACTGAAACAGACTGAGCCTCTGAGCCAAACTCCTCAACTCTTACATACATTCCTCTGGTTTCAGACCTACCTAAGTAGACCACTTCTCTTTTTCCTTTTCCATCACAATGTAGTAAGCTGCTTTCATATGCAAGTTTTCCTAATAAATCCTCTGAGCCAGTCATCTTGGTGTTCAGTACTTGTTTCTTAGGGATTCTCAGACATGGGCTGCTAGGAAAAGCCCTGAGCTTGTGTCCTAGCTTAAAACAGCAAGTCCCATGGGGCAGGAGCACCCCAGGCACAGAAGTGTGGCACGCAAAGCAGCCAAGGCCAGCCCTGTGGGCCACAGTGACAAAGAACGGAGCCACTTGATATCTCCAAAAATATGTCTCTCGGCACAGGGCGGCAGGGCCTGGGCTCCACTGCTGGCCAGCCAAGGTGTGCTTGCAACAGAGGCGGAAGGCTGAAACTGGATACATGTTGGATGTGGTCAAGAGGACTGTGGATGCAGGGCTGGTGAGGCATGCAGGGGCCTGGCCCCTACGCTGCCCTGAGGACAGCTCCCTGTCTCAGTGAGGATGGAGGCGTGACCTGACTCAGGACAACATGAGAATGAGCTGACCCAGGATGGTCACAGTTCTTCCTCTGGTGTGTCCACACTTTTGTACCTGGAGAGACAGTAAAACTGGATCCCAACACCAGAACACAAAGCACTAGGTGACTCCATGTACTCTGCAGTACATGTACTGCAGGCCCTGTACTCTGCAGGCGATGAAGGGTTCAACACGCCTACTCTGGCTGTTCTCGGATCCCCTCCACTGGGGTAGCCTTGACAGGCAAGTGCCCACAAATGAAGGCTGAGGGAGGACTGGAGGCTATAACCAAGAAGGTCCCTGACTCCCAGGATGGTGGGCCTCTGCTCCCTGGTCTGCAGAACAGCAAACGGAGCGTATCTGAGGCTGAGAAGGTAGCTGGGGGTGCGGGGTGCTTTCTGTCCAGCTCCCTGGTTTTTCTGTGCTCCATATCCTTGCAGCAGTGTCTTAAACCCACGGGCTTCATCTAAACAGATGCTAATCCTTCTAGTCTGCTCTAAGCTCCAGAGACCTACCATCTAGCTCTGAGAGGCACTCTCCACAGATGATATGCTTCAGGGCTAGACACTAACAAGCTGGCTACCAATGGCCCATACCCATAATCTAGCTACTCAGGAAGCTGAAATCTGAGTATAGAGGTTTGAAGCCAGCCTGGGCAGGAAAGTTTCTGAGGCTCTTATCTCACCTCAATTAACTTGGGGGGGGGGCAGAAGTAGAGCTGTGGCTCAAGTGACAGAACACTAGTCTTTTTTTTTTTTTTTTGTCAGTTGTGGGGCTTGAACTCTGGGCCTGGGCACTGCCCCTGAGCTCTTCAGCTCAAGATTACTGCTGTACCACTTGAGCCATAGTGCCACTTCTGGTTTTCTGATGGTTAACTGGAGATAAGTCTCACACACTTTCTTGACCAGCCTGGCTTTGAACTGCAATCCTCAGATCTCAGCCTCCTGAGTAGTTAGGATTACAGGCGTGAGCCACCAGCTAGTCTTGAGCATAACAAAGCTCAGAGCAACTCAGCCCTGCATTTAAGTCTCAGGATTAGTACACACACATGTGCAACACACACACAACACTAAGATGATGGCTTCAAGAACATGGGAGTTTGTTTACAGGTATAGAACTCTGCCCTCACAGTCACCCTGGGGCACCTTCAAGCCACAGTTACTTCCTGGTCTTGGACCAAAACTGTCGGTACTGCTCAGAGTCAAAACCGTCGGCCAGCTCTGGCTCTTCCTCCTTCTTCTGTTGGAGCAGGGCTTCACGTTTCCGGAACCTGGCCCGGCGCTCCTCTGGAGTCAGGGTGTCCAGGTCTAGTGGCATCTAAAAGGGGAGAAACACACGTGTGTCCACACAGACCCGTCTTAATTTTCTTAAGATTTTTGTGAGCTTTCCACAAAGCTTTTCTTTTACTAAGAGAACTATTTTTTCTGTCTCTTTTTCCTAAGATTGGTGGGGTTTTTTTTGTTTGTTTTGTGTCTGTCCTGGGCGTTGTCCCTGAGCTCTTTTGCTCCAAGCTAGCACTCTACCACTTGATCCACAGCTCCACTTTTGGCTTTTTGGTGATTAATTGGAGAGATTAATGGGAGTTTCATGGACTTTCCTACCCAGGCTGGCTTTGAACTGGGATCCTCAGATCTCAGACTCCTGAGTAGGATTACAGGCGAAAGCCACCAGGACAGTTTATTGGAGGTGTCTTTAAACAAAACATAAAAATACTGACTTATTCATCCTATCTGGTTTTAATGCTTGGAGGAAGTTCTAAGTCAGACACTCTTCCTCTCCAACAGTCTGTTCTTCTGCACAACTGTACTGTGACTACTGCGACCTGTCCATCCTGAGTCCAGTGGCCACAAGCTCCAGATAAATCTGGATGATGAAGGCAGCATACCACCAGCATGCGCCTTGGCTCCCTGTAGCGGATGTGGATGGTGGAGCCATCCTGCTTGACCAGCAGCACTGGGTAGAGGCGAGCATAGGCCTGGCGACGGAGACGAGCGATGGACGCCCTGTTGCTATCAGCTTGCCGGGAAGATGTGTGCAGAAAGCAAGGCACAGAGGATGCTGACTTCACAGTCCTCTGCCACAGCAACCTACACACAAAACATGGGGTACTGGTAAGTGGATGGTTTGGGGACAGAGATCACCAATATGGCCAGATCAGGGCCTAACAGAGAACTTCCTGCTGGCCACGAACACTAGCCAGGGTGCTCTGAAGAGCCACAAGGCTTGATCTCCAGAGTTTTGACCTCACAACCAGGAAGGGGTCAAGCGGGTGGCTGACAGCATTGGGGACAGGAAGAAGCAGGAGCCCAAGAGTCTTAACTCCTGCTGAGGCTTTTCCTGAGGTAAGCCTGACTAGAGTCGTGAGAGTCCTGAAAATCCATGCTTACCCAAGCAAGCTGCCCACAGCCACCATCTTTCCTTAAGAGTCCTGGTGGAACGTCAACCACTGGACCTTGTATACACCTGCTAGGCAAGAGAATAAGGCTTTTTATTTTATCTTATTTATTTATTTATTTTTCTTGACAGTACTGGAGTTAGAACTCAAAGCCTTGCATTACTAGCTAGGCAGGCATTCTATCACTTGGACCATAACCCAGCCAAGAAGTCTTTTAAAAATTTTTTTGGGGGCTGGGGGTTTAGCCCAGCGGAAGGGCGCCCGCCTGGCAAGTGCAAGGCCCTGGGTTCAGTCCTCAGCCCTGGGGGGGAAAAAAAAGACAAAAAAGCTACAAAAATTTTGTTTTGCCTTTAATTGATCTTCCTGAAATCCTGGCCAGGAATTAACTCTGGTGTCTCTCTAACATCTACATCCAGTTTTCCTTCAGTATTTATAGGGAATTGGATATAGTATTCTTCTACAACTATCAAAATCCACAGATCCTCTGGTTTTTTGTTTTTGTTTCAGTTGTGGGACCTGAACTCTGGGCCTGGGCACTGTCCCTGAGCTCTTCAGTTCAAGGCAAGTGCTCTACCACTTGAGCCACAGTGCCACTTCCGGTTTTCTGGTGGTTTATTGGAGATAAGCGTCTCATGGACTTTCCTGCCCAGGCTGGCTTTGAACCTCAGATCACAGCCTTCTCAGTAGTCAGGATTACAGGCATGAGCCACTGGCACCCAGCCCTCGGTTCTTTTATATGTAAAGGTACAGTACTTGCACACAACCTGTGCACACACTCCCATATACTTTAATATTATCTATAATACTTAACAGAATATAAATGCTGTATAAGTAAGTTACATCGTTTACGGAATGACAAAAAATCTATAATGTACAATACAGAATCAACTAAAATTTTTTGAGTTATTTTCAATTGGCATCTGGTTGAATCTCCTAATACAGACCAGGTGTAATCACTGTATTACTTGTTACTGTATCTCACTAACAAGTTGCCTTCTAGGAGGAGAATGGCCTGTGGAAGTTTTCTCAAAAACAACTACTTACTCCCAAAGATAATGAATCACATGAGGCACATGCCTACCCATTCTAGTGGGTATGGTGTCAGGAGAGTCCTTTGCAGTTGGGGTGTACACCCTGATTTCTAAACTACTGTTTTATTTTTGCCTGTCTGGGGCTTGAACTCAGGGCCTGGGCGCTGTCCCTGCGTCCGTGTTCAAGGCTAGCGCTCTACCACTTGAGCCACAGCGCCACTTCCAAGCTGCCATCTTCAATGGCAGCCTCTCCCTTGTTTACGCAGCTACACCTGTACACGTGCACCCTTCCCGTCCGCGGCCCTCCGCCGGCGAGGTCGCCTCAGGTCGCTGACCTTGTCTGTGCCCCAGGGTCCGTGATGGGGAAGCCTTTCAGTGAGCGTCTGCTCACTTCCGGGGAAAGAACTCCGGAGCTGCCTTTTCTTCACGCCTGATGCCAGGCAGTCCGCACGGACGGAGGAGTTCGGGAAGATTTCCGAGCCAGCCGGCGCGCAGGTTCTGCCCGGGCTCCGAGCTACGGAGGAAGAAAGGCCACCGGTGAAACGGAGAGCGCCCGGGTCCGGGTCCGGAGCCGAGGCGCG